TTGTTGGCTTTTTTGTTTGTTAGTTGTGGGTGGTTCATAGTGTAGAGTGCACTGGTATCTGCATTCTTCGAGTGCTTATTGACATGGAGCCGCCCCTCCATATCAAAAAGCATTCATCAAGTGCTTTCTGATATGGAGGGGCGGCTCCATATCAAAAAGCACTCGACAAATGCGGATACCAGTCCACTCTTCATGATGAAACACCCACAACTAACAAACAAAAAGACAGTCAACAAAACAACATACGTTGGTACAACCCCCCCATTCCACAAAAATGTAAGCCCCAATGTCAGACACAGATTCCTTGCCATAGGAGACAAGCACTTCCCAAAAGACCACGAAATAAGAAAAATCTTTAATTGTAACACAATCAAAATCTGCTTCAGCTGCATGAATAACACTAAACAGATCACCGACAACCACAACAAACACATTTTAAATTCATCAAAACACAACAATGACACCACAGATAACACCAACACAAAAGACACCAAAAATTGCCGCTGTCAACAGAAGAACACATGCCCACTTAACAGAAACTGCCACCAGTCACCACTAATCTACCAAGCCACCATCACACATAAGTACAACAGCACCACTGAAATGTACATCACACTTACAGAAAACGACTTCAAGACTAGATACAGAAACCACACTGCATCATTCCAACCCACAAAACACAGAAACTCAACCAAACTCAGCAAACATATCTGGACCCTTAAAGAAAATAACATTAACCACTTTATTTTATAGCACATCCTTTCATCAAGATCACCCTACAACAATGCAAGAAAAGATGCAACCTCTGCCTCAAATAAAAATTACTTATCATCCACCAACTTCAATTATCATCACTCAATAAATGTAATGAACATGTGCCGTCATGCCACCACAGACACAAAGCATTACTACGCAACAGTTGAACAAAGCATTGAAATTTTTTGCCACACCTTTATGCAAGTTTGTAAATTATATAAATGATGGTTATGAATATTCTTCACAATTAAATCCTCTGATGAGTGAGTAATCACGAAATAGGCTTGTAAGTATGAAAGTATAGTCTCTGTTTTTTCCCCTATCTCATACATATCACACTCTACTTCTACATATCAAGCACTGTACAACAGAAAATCAAAACACAGACTTCCTATATGTATATCTATGTATAATTATATGTGAGGCACATGTATTGATAGGGAGCTCATGAGATAGATTTCTAGCAAGCTACAATCAACCTGACAACTAACTTGCCAAGACTTTTCTCTTGTGGTAGCGATTGTCCTCTGAGATGACCAGTAAAAAGTCCCAAACCATTCTAGAAAGAAAAGAAAGGCAAACTAGAGAAACATCCCCTGTGAGTAAAGTTGCTGATGCAGACTCCTGTCAATATGCCTTTGACACCCCACTCCACTAATAAGGAATTGTTAGTGGTCTCTGAGGATAATCTTGACTCTTATGGAAATTGCACTTTTTCAGTCATTGTTCCCTCACTCTGGAACAATTTACCAGACCAAATAAGAACTGTAGCATGCCTAAGTTCTCCTAAGAGTAAAGTTAAGACCTTTTCATTTAGTCATTTCTTTTAGCTTTCAAACACCTCAGATTTGTTCCTAAATTTACAAATATTAAACTTGTAATGTAATTTACATATGTATTAGCAACTTTGATAGGTGCTATTGGTCAATTAGAACAAATAACAATTATCATTACTATTATTATCATTATTACTATGATTATGCAACACCTGATACATCAATAAGGTCATCTTTCTTTGAATCTGACATTGATCAACCAATCAGTGAGTCTAGATCCAACCTGGCTTTATCAGACTATTGATCAGAAAGCTCAGATGAAGAAAGGGATTTTAAAGGACATGGATATGAGCTCATAGATCTAAACCAGGTGGTAAACTTCAATTGTTCTAAATGGTTCTCTGAAAAATGTTTCAACTTTGTTGTACAGTTTCTGTCTGACTGTGTGTATAGGACAGGAAGTACATAGTTGTCGATTTATTGTTTGGCAATGTTTGCTCTACTTTAATTTCCTTTTTGTAATTCAATCATTTACTTTTTGCTTTCTGCCTGTTCTGTATATTTAATACCCTGTGATTTCCTTGAGGCAAGTGTTTTTCACATGAAAAAGCCAGTTGGAGGGCATGGCTACCTCAGACAAACAAATAAGGAGGATTCAGACATACCATGGTCTAGCCATTACACAATGTTCTGTCAATCTCAAATCCATCAGATAGTGAGATAGATGTAGCTGTTTACACCATGAAAAGAACTTGATATCCATCTTACACCACTGTATGCAAGCTGGAGATTCAGCAAAGCAACACAGATTTTTTCCCCCTGACAAGAACTCCTGGTTTGACTGGCACCAAGAACGTTGATTGATAAAGGGATGACTGCTTGCCCCAGGTTTTTGTGGAATTGTTGCACTTCATCCTCGTAATGTCAAGTTACACAGAACTGAAATTAGTGCATCAATTCCCTGGTTTGGGTTCAGTGCCCAAAGCATAAATGTCATGATGTGAAAGTAATTCCCTGTGCTGTGGTTTCTGCAGTGTTACAATTATATCATGGAACTGATAGCTGCCAAAGAAATCATCAAAGACCACCATATTTTCACTAAAACATTTCAATTTTCACTGGTTTTATACACTTGTAGATCTTTAAAGCACATTGTAATTCTAAATAATTTTATTCGTAATTTAGTCTTTACTTTCCTAATTACTATTATAACGAGCTTTTATCATCATTAATTGCAAATTTAATCGGAATAGACTTTCAGGAGAGGAAAAAAACTACTGTATGGTTACTCTGAGAGACTTGAAAGACACAAAGGCAAAGAAGATTCAAGTTAACCAACAAGCAAAGCACTTCTAATTCAGGCCAAACATGCAGATGAGAAATTAATGCACCCACCCAATCTCCCTACTTGGAGACTTGAGGCTATTAAGGAGCAAATGGTGGACCATGAAGACATTTAGTTAATACCATAACCTCATCTTAAAAAGGCAATCCCTTTCGCCACACTTATAAATTTGTACACATCTTTGCCTAGTAATCCTTTTTATTCTCTACATTCTCCTTTGGGAGAGCCTTAATGTGTCTGCTTTAAATGCCAAGGTTAATGCTACCACTCAAGCACCAACCAAAGTACAGAACATAGAAAACTCAAACCTTCCAAAGACTGCTCATAAGAATTGACAGATACAAAATTAAAGTTCTTTTATACCATCTATGTATGGAAAAGACAATTCATAGTTTTTACTACTCATAAACGATTTTCAAAAGTAAATATCAGTTTTACATAAACTAAGTCTTATTAATGCAAATTTTATCATGTATAGTAGTTTTTAAGGACCATGCATAATGTTAAATTTTTTCCAAAATTACTGCAATGTGATATTGTGTGCATATTTTGTGCCTGATAAATCCATTAAGTTTATCAAATATTTATTCAGCTAAGAATACTGCCAAAGTTAATTCAACAACGTGTTCAACTTCCGTTACAATAGAAATTAATACTGAAGTACCTGAATGTGTAATGCCTAAGTCATCAAAGAAAGACTTAAGTGCTGATGATATACATCTGATTGAACAAGGCACCATTGGTCAGTCTGAGAATGAGGCATGGCACGATTACAGAAAAGGCCGATTAACTGCCTCTAATTTCTATAGAGTGTGTAAAAGTTGAAACCCTTAAAACTAAGGGGGGTGATGCACAGGAACTAGTGGACACAATCCAGGGTAAAAGTAATGGACGTCGGAACATTTACCTGCTCTAAAATATGGAAGAAACATGGAGAAAGTTGCTAAGGATAAGTATGTGAAACTGTTTCAGAGGGAGCACAAAGATGCAAAATTCAGAGAGTGTGGACTATTTATTGATGAATCTGACCAATTCATTGGAGCATCCCCTGATCTGCTTGTTGAATGTTCCTGTTGTGGATTAGGGGTGCTAGAAGTGAAGTGCCCTTATTCTATTGTTAATGATTTACCATCAGAAGACAATCTTTCCTACCTGGTAAAGATTAATGGCAAAATTGTCTTGAAAGAGAAGCATGCATATTTTGCACAGATACAGGGACAAATGGCTGTGACAAAGAGAACATGGTGTCACTTCCTGGTCTACACCCAAAAGGGTTATCATCTGGAGCTAATCAAGTTCAATAATGATTACTGGGAAAAGATAAAGCAAAACCTAATTTGGTTTTATAATAAGTATTTAAGTGAATGAATGCTCGTTAATTATAACTTGATACAAAACTTTATTTACATGGTGTAAACACTAAAAATACATTTGTACATTTTATATACAATTTAGAATTTTTACAATTTCATATCTGGAAAAACTGGTCTGACAGTTCTAAATTGAACTCAAATAGTCTCTGAATAGAACAGTAAAATTGTCTGTTGTGGAAACTGGAATGGATGAATCAAATCATGAAATTTTATACAAGTAATGCATTGACCACACTTCAGTATGATTGAAAATGTTACAGTTTGATATTGTTTGCAGTTATATATATAGTAATAATAAATAATATATTATTTATTTGTGTTCAGCGACACATGAGCTGTGAAATGAAGAAAAATATTTACAAATTATATCTAATGATTGTAATCACTCTACCAGAATAATTTTTTCTTGTGAGGTCCTTGTGGTGCAAATAATATAACAGTTCTTATTCAGAGTGCACATACTTAATAGCTGAAGCATTAAATGGTACTAAATCATACTATTACTTAATTTTCTTTGTTATGTACCATTATCAACACTATTTAGTATTATTTGGTACCATTTGTATGAAAGATTAAGTGATTGCACTCTATATACTTGCTAGTAAAGTAGAGCAGAGATTTTGAATAACATTTAACCTAAGAAAGAACTTAGACTAATACATATTGGTATCCTCTAAATTTATGAAGTTTATATTCTTTCATGGGTTAAATGCTGTCAATCTTTTTAGCTATTTGTACATTTCTTGTTAATCATTTTTTACCCAAGGGTCTATACAAGTTACATAAGGCTGCACAAATAAGTACAATGTTGTCTATACTGCCAAGCAGTGATATTGGTAGTTCATGCTTTATCAGTCTAAACGTCTTCAACCGTCTTATTGCTTGCTCAACAAAGATTCTAAGATTTGCAATTTCTTTTGTTTTAGCAACTTCAGCTTTAGTGAACTGCTCTTGTCCACGTTTACCAGGGGGGATGTGTAGTCTTGAGCTTCTGATTAAGAGGTCTTCAGCAATTGTGAATCCACGGTCTGCCATCACTTCATCGCCAGGTTCAATGATATCATAAAATGATGATTCTCTTGTCAGATGCACATCTGAAGTTCTCCCTCCCCATGCTTTGGATAAGAAATTGAAAAAACCATGTGGTGTTATTGATACCAACAGCTTAGCAGTGTTGTGATGCTTGTAGTCTGACCACGTAGCTGCTCTAAGGTTTGGGTCGCTTGGGGTTTCAATAAATATTTCTGTGCAATCAATGATGTGGCGTACATTAGAGTAGCCTGGCTTTTTAAACTTTATGGCAAAGTTGCTTTCACAACATCGATGGAGGGATTGTAAACCAAACATTTAAGTTCACTTGCTAGATTTTCACCCAGGTAGTAACAACATTTGTTACATTTGTAGTTGAAATTCCAAACCTCTGTGCTAAGTCAGCATTTGTTGATCCAAGTCGAAGTTTCATTAAGGACTGCAATGTGATATTGTGTGCATATTTTGTGCCTGATAAATCCATTAAGTTTATCAAATATTTATTCAGCTAAGAATACTGCCAAAGTTAATTCAACAACAAAGATAAGCCCACACTTTTGCCCCCTCAGACCGCAAATAGCCTTATACCCTAGCCGATCACAGGGATGCCATCAGTGACACACACACCCCTGCCTTAAAATCAATAATTGAATAATTCCACCCCAATTTTCAAGATCAAAGTGCCAAATTCAAGATGGCATTAAGTGGCTGTGGTTCTGGCCACAACAGAAAATGCTGGAAGGCTGGGCAAAAATAAAGCTCTTTTAAGTCTTTCAAAAGGGCAAAGAAAGAGAGGGAAATTGCCATAAATTTATCTTGAAGATATAAATTCCAGACAGATTCAAGTAAAATTTGAGGCAGGCTATCCAGGGATATTATGACTCTATGTTCGCAGAGCATTTGTTGTTTTTGGAATATTGCACGTTGTGACCTTGAAAGATCATTCACTCAAAAGTTTGAGTGTTTGAGCTTGAGGTGTTTGTAATCTTCATTACAAACTCCATTTCCTTTGTTTCTGATTTCTAATACCACAGTCTTTAAAGCACTGATTTAACTGTGACAATGAAAGTCTCAGCAATAGAAGAGACAGTTTCATCTATAAGATGTCATTTGAAGCACATACTTGAGCAGTTGTTTTTAATTCTTGTTTACCCATTTCAAACCATGTGACCACATGGCTAAAAAGGTTTATTTACTTAGAAAACTCAGAACTCAATGTCTAATTGTTAAACAGGCTATCAAACAACTTCTTTGAAAACCAGTCAACTTTAGCACACTGATGCAACCATTGACATCCATTCAGCATCTAATTTGCAAAATTAGGAAATTCCTTAGTCCTGAGTCCATGAAGACTCTTGTTCATGTATTTGTGACTTCACATTTGGACTACTGTTACTCTCTTCTCTTTGGCATCTCCAAGTACCAGACAGATTGCCTCTACAAGGTGGTTAATGACGCTGCTTGATTAATCTTTAGGATTCCAAAGTTTGATCACATTTCATCCAACTTATCTCATCTTCACTGAGAAGAATATCTGCAGCCACATTCCATTTCTGGTCATCACCTATGTTCCTGTGACCAGGGCCTTTGTAAGATCCCAAAACCTTATTTTAAGACCTTTGGTGATCGCACCTTTGCCCATTCTGGGCCACTTCTGTGGAACAAACTGCTGCTTGAAATTCAAAACAGTCAGAGTGTAGCCATTTTTAAGTCCAAGCTTAAGACACAACTGTTCAAGCTGGCCTACAATTTGTTCTAACATTTTAAATAGTTTTAACATTTTAATTTTTTTAAATATTTTTCATATTTTATCATTTAATTGTTTTAATATTTTTGTAGATTATTTTGTAAGGTGCTTTAGAGTATTTTTAAAATTTTAGTGCTCTAGAAATGTAAATTATCATTATTATCATTATTGTCCAAGACACACGAAAGCAGTGTGGGCCTATTTGTGTTGTAGAAGGCAAGATCAGGGAACATGACTTTCTACTCATGAAGAAGCAATTGATTTGACTATTTTAAAAAACTTTAAAACTTGTTTAATTGGTGACGAAAAAAGAAGGTACAGTGTATGGCCTTACACCTACAGAGTACATCACTGCAGTGTAAAAGCAAATCTACTTGTATCTCCATTATTAACCCTTAACGTACCAACTGCGCATATATGCGTAGAAATATACGACATGATTTTAACGCGCAAGTGTGGTGAATTATTGGGGCTTGGGCACTGGTGTTTCATTTCAAATGACTTAACATAAAGTATAGTTTGAGGCAGTGAAAGAAAATGGCCGATTTGGCGAGTTGTATTAAAGAATTTGGAAATTTAAATTTCGAGTGTGTATTGTCTGTGGTTTTTTAAAAATGGCGGCGTGCGAATTATCTCCTGAAGCATTCTGTGCGACTGGAAGCGATGAAAACAATGTGGAAATCGAATTTATCCACGAAGACAATTTACCTTTGGCTTGTATCAGTGTTTTGGAGCATCCCGAGTCAGAAGAAGAGATTGACTCCGATGATTTGGCAGAATCTAATGGGGATGAGTCAGAAGAACTAGAAAGTGAACAAGATGAAGACCCAGAGGAGGAAGAAGAAGTATCGGCATAGAGCGAAGAAATAACGAGAAGGGATGATATTGATTTCAGTGAACTCGTGGGATTGGCAGCAAATGTAAACATTAGATCTTTGACATCAAGCAAAGGGTTTTTTGATCTGTTCTTCACTACTCAGGTATGGGAGTTGTTAGTTGCTCAGACTAATCTGTATGCAAATCAGAAACGAGGAGCTGCAGAAAAGTCTGTGTGGTATCCAGTGTCTGTGGAAGAAATGAAAGGTTGGGTTGCCATTTATTTATGTATGGGAATTATTAACAATTATTAAAAGTCAGCTCATATGCAAGGCGAATGAGAGGTGCTGTGTGGTATTATAAGATTTTTTTCTATATCATAGAAGTGTGTGTTTCAAATGCACACATTTTGGAGAGAAAATCTCCCTGTCATACCACTAGAACTGCTTTAGACTTCAGAAAGTCATTGATAAGTCACTTGACTGAAGGAAAGTCCTTTAGAAGGGACACTCAAATGTGACCACCACCCACTTCTGAAATTAGATTTAACCAAGAACACTTCCACCACCTGGTAAGCAACGACAAAAGATCTACTTGCAAGGTTCACTTACAGCATGTAGGTACCTTTTATAGCTGCGCAGTGTGTGGAGTATGCATGTGCCTGGAGCCCTGTTTCCTCAGGTATCACACATTGAGAGACTTCTATTTCAATGATGAAGATCATGAAGGCCCCAGATGTCTGAAAGAAGGAAGAGGGAGGCCTCGCACCAGAGGAAGAGGAAGAGTTCTCCAAAATTGAACATGCATAGACAAATTTGATAATTGAAAAGAAATAACAAAGGCAAGGTGATATATGAGACAATAAAAGTGACTTACTCTAAGACTTTCTCAAGATTAGATTTTGTTACTAATAAGATAATTCATGCCCTTACAATAATCTTAATGGGTCAAATTTGTGTGCAGAGAAGTGTTTTTAACCCTTAAAATGATATTTTCAATGTGTGAAGGTCATGATTTTTTGAGAAAAAGCAATAGTTCTGAAATTTATTTGTTACAGGATTCTTTCAATTAGTCCTTCTTGAAACTTCCAATAATTATGCTAATTATGCATGCCGTGACGTCATCATATGATGTGTATCCCATAATAAGTTAAACAAATTGATAGAAAATTTTCCACTGGTTATGAACATATATGGTCATATGGGGCTTTATTAAACAGAAATTGATCTGCAACTGATTTTGTAAACATCACTCGGGTTTCTCCAAAAAAAATAACATACCCGTGGTATGTTAAGGGTTAAATGGCAACACGTTCCTTGCCCATCTTTACGAATGTTGCATTCTTTCACAAAAGCGAGCTCTATAACTTCCCACTCGTTGACCTTAAAACGAAACACTTGTATTCCCTATAGAGACACTTGACACCTCCGCTTCAAATTAACCATCCGAGAGGGTAAGGTTTGATCTTTACTCCCTAGGCACGGACGACAGTCAATTGCACACGAGTTATACCGGGCGGGAGGGGGGTATGTTGAAACAACACATAAGCTCTTGTGTTTTATCATAAGGATTAGAATGTTTGTACGAATAAGAAAAAGACATATTGAATAGAAGACGACTCGCCTCGTTTGGCTCATCAAGTGTCCGTATGCTCCCCAGGCTTCGCCTTCGGCCACAAACACTGTAAACTGGAGGAACTCACTCGATATCCTTTTTTCTTTGAGGTCTTCGTCCTCGTGAGGTCGTCCCCGCTTCATTACGACCCTCCCATCATCAGCTAAAACCCTAGCGGCATCAAATTTTTAACTTGAAAATGCTCCCAAAGTCAAGAGTCAACCGACGCAGTGCAAGATTTCCAAGATCAGAGGAGTACGCGCAGGTGATTTCGTTAAACATTCTACGTGAACAACCCTCCGGCACTTTGGAAAGATGCAGATTTTTCCACCAAAAGTTGCCCATTCTCCGAGTTAAGAACTTCAACTTTTCTTTTGTAAAAAAATCAAGAGACTTAACAAAAAGATTCTACCTACATTACGATTGTTACGATGCTAACCTCATCACCACAAAACAGCTGTTCAACCGGACACCTTGTTGTAGATTTCGTCCAAAGGGCCATGCCGGTATGAAAAATTAGTTCTCAGACCTCTCGCATCATTGAAACCTTACAATTTTGAGGGTTTTGGGCTTGATTGGGACTCGAAAGACTAAGCGTAACTCTGTTTCGTTGGAGATTTATATGTCCCCACTTTTAACCTGCTAAAAGGTATAGATAATAGCTGTATTTAAAATTAGAAATTATCCACCTTAATGCCTAGCGAGTTCTCCTGTATAGACCATTTTTTGTGCATTACTTTGTTATTATTTTATTTTTCTAAGCAGTAGAAATGGACCTTGGTAGAGACTCGTGTGTTTTTAATGGTGCTTAATGAGATATTACTAAATCATGTATTTACATATTTTTTCATTATAAGCAGGTTAGATTTACTTTTATATTTCTTTTTTATTGTAAAGCGCCATTGAACTAAATGGAAACGGCGCTACATAAATTTTGTTGTTATTATTATTATTATAATGATTTCAGTTTTAAATAATGTTGATTAGAGGGCCTGTTCCCACACTGAACACGATTGTTCCACATTCCTTTCGGCTGACATTTCGCAAGCAAAGAATGATGAGCACAACCTCATTGTTGTTTATTTCACGCGCTTGAGATGTACTCATTCTCCTTGTCTTTCCACATGACTGCATTTGCGCT